CCAGACACGCGACGTAACCCCGAGGACGCCCGACCGACGTGTCGTCGAGGCGATGGCCGACGACCAACGACACCGGTCTCCGCGGTACGGCGGCTCTACCAGGCAGCCCGGGCGATGCCGCTGGTTTGCCGGGACACCCCGCTGGGCCAGAACCAGCCTGCCGGGTCGGAACGCGATACACAGCCGACCGGCTTGCTCTTCCAGTCTGTTCAGCGACGACAGCGACGACGACAACGCGGACCGCTTCACAGGCCGCAGCCACCGACTCGTCATCCTATCTTCCTGGTGTTAGTGCGCTAAGTGACGGTAGCGTGCGGCACAGCCTCAACCCCCTCAGATCACCAAAAGAATGCCTCCTCACAGGGGCCGGAGTTGGACGAACACCCTCCTCCGACCCCCAGCTCGGCGGCGGCGGGACGACGGAAAGAGAGCTTCTCTCGTTCTGCCGCCTCCTTCTGCGAGATGGTGGACTCACAGAAGTCGAGCATCGCCGGCCAGGACTTGTCGCTGCCGAGCATCGTAGCCACGACGTTCGGAAGCAAGTCCGATCCTATTTTGGCAACGAGGACGCGGTACTGATCCGCGAAAGCAGGGCAGCACGCGAGCATGTGCTTCGCCCTGTCCTTGTTACAGCCACTGCAGTGGTGGCACTTCGGTATCGGATCCCTGCGGGCGACGAGGTGCAGGTAGCGGCCGAAACAGCCATGTCCGTAAGCACCTGCGTCGCTCGGAAGGTGAGACGTCCTCGATCGCGATTCACCCAGTCTGAGAGGACTGGGCGGATCGCCTCGTCGGTTCGTCGCCCGTAGGCCCGTTCCGCCAGGTGGTGAGACCACGCCTCGAGCATGGCACGCCGAGATTGAAACTTCCACGCCCGAACTTCTGCGCGCCGGGACGCAGTTCCTCCTGGAGCGGAGATCGCCTCGCCTCGCGTAATCCGCAGCGAGTGCCTCCGCTTCCAGGACTCAAGGAGGCGTCTTGGCCAGCACTGTATCAATTATACCCTGACGTAATAAGAAGCTCGTTACTACAAAAATGATATTAGAATATTAAATTAACCTAATTAGATACTCACGTACACAATTATAAAAACTATTTATTTAATCTTAATCTTTGATTTTGTACAAGAAATTAAAAATAAAATGGTACAGAAAAATTTGATAGTTAAAATTAATTGCAATTACGATCGATAGTTAATTGATCTATCAGAATTCATTTAAAATAGGATTCTTAAACTTTAGGTTAACAGACTTTCCGTTTTTAGTCCATCCAATACCATAATTTTAAAACAGGTAGGTACAACAACTATCTAAAATTACTTGCAATTTTTATTGTGAACGCCTCCTCTAATTCTTTTATGGCGCCTGCAAATTTTGTAACTACAAAGTTGTAAATTTTGGTCTGCGTGTAAAAAAAGGCCGCGCCCGGGAGTTCGTTGATCCGAGCATCAGCTGCTTTTGATTTGGTCTTTCATTGCTGGTTCTTTTTATATTTTTTAAGAAGCTATCGTTTCAATTAGCTGTACTAACATAATGGAGCGTAAATAATGCTATTAAGCCGTTTTAAAAATATAGGTATTTTTTTTAATCAGTATCAATTTTTCCCGTCTTATCATCAAAAGTGTATTTAGTACTATCGTCTGTCTTCGTTTTCGGAAGAGGTCTCCTAACACCGATATACACCCATATACAAAATTGATGGTGTTACTTTGTAAATTCCGTAATTAATGAACTTTAAAGATGTTATAAATAGCTGAAAACTTTATTAGAACTTGCTTTGTCAATAATCTGTTTTTTTGGTAACAAAAAACCATTCATAATTAATGTTATTACATCATACTTCAACAGAGAATTATGGAATATTACGTTTAACAATAAAAACACTAGAATAATGACAAAACTATTTTTTTCCTTTTCATAGATTATAGTCATATTTAATTTTCAGTACCTATAGGACTAACATTACCAATAAGGTGTGTTAATAGATTAATAGTATTGTTTTATTTGAAAAGTCCTATCCAGATGAATAATGTGTTCGCCAGAGCTTTTAACATAAAAGGTGAAGCCAATACCTAATTTAAAATATTAGGGCCTTGAGTAAGATCTCGCACGCTCAGCACTTTCATTCATATAAAGAAGCTAAAAAATCAATCGATTATTGGATAGCCTTAAAAGACACATCGTTTTTCCGACACGGAATACTGCCAGAAAGATATGGGAAAGTAGACCCTAGCAAAGGTCAATACTTTGAATAAAAGATTTTTGTTTCTTATACTTTAAATAAAGCTATTATTTGAAAAACACTCAGTGAGAACTTATTCAAGATCCTAATATGCACTATGTAGAATAGTAAATACAGTAATCCTCCCTATAACACATTGGATTAGTTCCATGTTGAAGAAAAACATGTAGTAGAGTATTAACATATATTTCCCTCCATATGATCCTATATAACAAACCACGTACAAATGATGCACATTTTACTGTTTTCATTATTTTGACATTTTTTAGAACAAATATGTTTCATCGAATAAGGAACACAAATTTAATAAAATAGTTTATATTTATAATAGCATAATTGACATAATGTGCAAAGGTATGCGAAATTTACTATAGATCATCAATTTAACATTTACAGCAGAGAAATATTACAGTATAGGGGAATTCTTCATATTATAGGGACATGAAATTGAATTACAAAAGGACAGGGTTATAGGGGAGATTACTGGTTGCTACTTCATCAGATATATGAGTAGAACATTTGTTTTTAAAGCAAAATCTTTCGCAAAAATTTGATATTTGAATAATAGCATACATTAATAAAAAGTTTATTCGCATTTGCTCATTGAGTAGTAGCAGTATTGAAATATGACTTTGGGTTCTTTGTCTATGTCATAATGAGCTGTGAATTCTTCTGACTCATTAAAACAAAAATAAGATCATTAACTGACTGTCATTTTTTATCTTTCAGCAATTTTTATCTTTTGTTCTGCAATTTGAATACCATACAATGTAGAGCCAGATTCAGTATTCTTTTATTTATTTAATGCTTAGTTGTGTGGACGAGCTCACGTCCCACCTAGTGTTAAGTGATTACCGGGGCCCATAGACAGCTACAGTATAACCGCTGTCACCCATCATTCGACATGAGTTATAAGGTCTCATTTTTAACAATACAATGGCTGCCCCATTATTCAATCTGATATGCATTAATGTTACACTGCACGACCACGGCACAAGGCATCCTACCACCAATAAGTAAGTCTACTTATAAAATGTACTTACTATACTATAAAATAATATAAAAATAAATATAAAATAAAATAAATACTATGTATATGTATACTATATATGTATACTATGTATACTATAAATAAAATGTATATGTAAATACTTTGATTTGTAATATATTTGTGAAGGAATTATAGCTTTCCTTACGATTTAGTATCTATATTTAACTTAAAAATATTTTACTACCACAGTCATGCTTTCTAGTAGGAAGAGTGTGTCAGCCAATTCAGGCTTCAACCTCATGTCTCGTGTCTCATGGTCAGTGGCAGCATTCATGTCACTTATAGCCACTTAAGTCATTCAATCAATCATGAGCTCATCTAGCAATAAAAAAAATAGCAGTTTCATCAGATGATAATTATTCTGCTGTTGTATTGTTGTCTTTCTCTAACAATCTATGTGGTATTGAAATGTAATAAAACTTTGTTTCTTTTGTGAAAATCTAAATGGTTCAAATCATTGTATGGTATGTATCATCATAGTATTTTGTTATGAATTTAGCATTGATTGAATTAAGATTGTGAGCACCCTTAAATAATAAGGTACTTTTGTTCAAAAATCCTTTAGCAATTACTACAAAACATCTAAAAATAAGCTCAGCTCAGCATTAAAAGGGTTAAGCAACATTTCACCTGTGCTTCATTTATCCAGCGACGCACTAAATCCGGTACGGTGGCTGACAGATGCAAAGCGGAGACCAGTGCGGCAGATCCTACTGCAGGATTCTTATCAACAATAGCTTGTTTCATGTACCTCTCAATAGCTTGCAGCATTGTACTGTCTGTGATGCTACACAAAGCTCGAATGGCGGCAGGTCGGTACTCATCGTCTTTACCCGTCATGTCCTTCGTAAGTGAAGAAGTCACAATGATCACATCTTGTGCCATAGGACTCAACTCTTTAATGCATAGGTAAACTAAGCGGCGTAACACAACGTCCTTTGACTGAAACAGTTTCGTAGTGGCAAAAAATATATCCGTAGCCTCCTGCGTGGTTAATTCTTCGCCTTGGTTTAGTAAATAGAGTATTTTCGTCAAAATATGGATGCATTTTCTCGGATGCACGGGTGTAGAGTTGAAATATCTTGCCTCTTGTAAAAGGGTTGTTTTATCAAGATTTTGGAAGACATTGCTATCTTCTTCTTTTCCATCGCGGCGAGCCTTCATTATGCTCTGCTCTTTTAATATTTTATTGTAATTTAGAAATTAATAATATGCCCAGAATGATAAAATCCGCAACACGTCAGTGACAATTGACGTTTTGTTATTTTAGTTTTAAAAAAAGTTACGGCCGCTGGTAATACAAGTTTTTAGCCAGATATTTTTAAAATTAAATTTTCAAACGTGCTGGTCTATAATGTGGGTTATGTACAAAACTAAAGACTTCAAACTATTGTGTTAAAAATTATAAAAGAAATTGTTATTATAAATATTCCTTCCTCATGAAATCCAGTTATAAAATGAAGCGGAAGATGTATTTCATTACATATTTAATTGCCTTTGGACACTGACATAGTCTAATTGTTCAGCCGCCAAATCCTTTGAGCCTCAACGATTTCAAAATCATACCACTATTACACGGCAGGTACCACGCGAGAAGCTTTAACAAATCTGCTTTTCATTCAACTATCGATATTCACAGCGCAGCGGGGTCCAGTTCTCTAGTGTGAAATAAAAACCACATAATATTATATTATAGTTTTATTCACTGTTCTACAAATACATTCGTTTGTATAGTTCTTTTTAGCAACATTTGTGGCGAAACATCCAGCCCTAATATCTAAATTTAAACATTTATTTTTCTACAATTACTTTTTGTATTTATCTTAGTGAAGAACAAATACACATATCTATAGACATTGGTATTGAATACCTAATTAAAACAGTATTTTTTTTATTACAACACTGAGATTTTTTACTAGTAATATATTAATATAAGTTCAAATAGGTAATATGTATTAGCGTACAATAATTGTACAGTAATTACTATGTAGGTGTAAGATAAAATTTATTTTACGCGTTATCGGAATTTTCATCTGTCCTGGCAACATCAAGATAGTGAAGTGAAGTGAACTTTACAAAGTTTAGACGTGGTTATTATATGTCGACAATTTTACCAGACCAGAGACTAAAAAGAGAATTTAAATTAAAACCTGTGTCTTTCTTGAATTACTTTAAACGTTTGCTTTCAATATGATGAGAGAATTGAGAGGGAACATAATACTATTACCTACATCTTTCTACAAAAATCTAATGTAATAGCTACAATGAAAATAGGTAGATATTTTTATCATACAATTTAAAACTGGTCAGCAATATCAGCTATTACTACTATTTATGAAATCTTAAATTAAGATATTTTGTTAAGATTTCAATTTAATTAAAAACCTGTCGTAAATTTGATAATGTTCAAATCGAAATTCAAAAACAATGACATCATAATATACCATCATACTAGCTTCCAGGTTATTGTTCAGTAATCTAATTGTTAAAAATGGCAGTGATAATTACTCAAAGATAGCTGAGATTGTCTGTTAAAATTGATCATACACATCAAAAACTTTTCTCAAACAGTCTGATCTTTATTTATTTATTTACTGTCTGCCGTCATATCCACACATACATAATAATATAATATTTACTTTGTTTAACATATATATTAGGTACGATTTTTTTTAATGTAAGAGAATTTCATCAAACAGCTACGCTTTGAAATATTACATTTATTTTTTAAACATTATCACGATAGATATTCATAAAATCTTATGTAATAATAGATAATAATACATAATAGATAATACCTATAAATAATCTAAAGTCGTATGTAATAAATGTATAATTTCACTACTCTGTTTATAGCCAATTGTTTAATATATAGATTTAAATAAAATATATATATGGATAACATCAGTATAACCTGCCAGATTTAAAAATAAAAAATCCAACAGCATAAAAATGTATGAAATTTAAATTATACCTACCTACAATAAGAAATACTAGTATAACAAATTAACTACTTAAATAGATAAATAACATATATATCTCGAACGTTGTAATACAATAAAAGTTAACTTTTTTATTACTACATAAATAATATCACTGAATTATGATTTTAATGACTAGATATTTGAATACATAAATATTATATCACTAAACAAATAAATAATGTATATAATGTATATTTTAAATCACTCGTACATTACGATAGAATGACAGCAGGTATTCAAATTTTATCACACAAATTTTCTGACTAAGTAGTTATGGATCAAAATAGCTTCTACTTCAAAATGTAGGTATGTATGTACATTGTCAAAGTATAAATTCATAATTATTAAAGTAGACTGCTGTCTGTCAAAAATACATTATTACTTTGAATTTTTGCACAAAACATTATGTTTTTGGTATCAAAGTATCTAGGTTTAATTTTTTTTAACATTTAGCATTTTTTTAATGCTTAGATTATGTTTATTTATGTATTTAATACAATAGGTACCATTCAGAACGCTAAAACGTGGATACCTACTGCTTTGCAGTTCAATTAGCATTAAAAATAAAACGATTCCGATTGAAAATTGAAAGGGTCTAAGCACTCTAAGCCTTACCATGTAATAGGTTGTTTAAAGGCTACTAATATTACTCAAGTTAACAATACAAGACAATATTAAAATAACCATTATACAGGTAATGGGAATGGTAAAAATTGGTGTAAGGTTTTATTGTTATATAAAACATTTTAACTTCAATATCAAAAGGTACCTAACATTAATAATTACTAACATTGAAACTCAAGCTCATACGCTAAAATGCAAAGCTGTCTTTTAAAAGTAGATTGGGTTAATACGCAAATGTCACGGATTCATATTTAATACTTAGTTTATTATCTAACAACATTGAGAACAGATTACTTCAATCTAACGAAACAAATTCATTAGTGTTCCTTTAAAAATTAAGTGAAATTACATTCACTGCAAACGTCAAAACAACTTTGGGAGACCGACGTTCTGCGTGATTGTATCAACACGTGAATCAAAATCAAGCAAATATCCGACTGTAAATTTTAAATTTGAACATCAATCGTTTTTATTGTTATTCAATTAGAACAAATTTACGTTATATAAACCTTAAGTACTACGCAATTTATTTGGCTGACTTACGAGTATTATGTACAATATTATAATTTACAAAATATCGGATTTTCCAAGTATTTAGTAAGTCTACAGAGATTAGTAACATACCCTAAATTGAAGGCAATGTTTTTTTCTAAATAGCAACACAATAAATCCGCTAAATTCAAATGAACTCTATTGAAGCGATTTTTTTCTAGTTTATTGATCTTCAATCAGGTCTAGTAAATATATTAATATCATTAATAATTATTATATACATAATTAAATTTCCTTAGTGATTGTGCTCCGAGATTTTTTTCAATGGCTCACATTATTAAATAGAAAACTACATTATTTAATAAGATGTAGTGTGGCCATGCCTCTATAGTCGTTTTTTCAGGAGTGTCATTATAAATATTATCTGTAAGACTGTTTCCTTCGAAGTCGCGATAATTAGGCGTTATTTATCGATGTAATTGAGTTGGGAATGGCATTCGAAAAAACGCATGTAGCTTTATGTCAGTATAATCAATAACTAGAGCCTTTAACTATTTGTTAATCCTTATGCAATTTCAGAATTAAAATTCGATCATTTTATCCATTTTATACTATTGAAAGTCGTTATTAAAATATTTAATTCAATTATATTTACTGCTTGTAGTCAAACTTTGGTCTCAACTTTGGTCTGTCAATTGTGCGATAGTTTCTTTCCACTACCTTTTACCTACTTTAATAATTGCCTAATTAGGCATCATTCTTTTCGTTACATTGAATTTAATAATTAATGAGAAACGAGTTAAAAATAGATAATTTACGTAAAAGAATATATCTTAATTATTGTCGCTATGGCCTATTACTTATGTCTGCAAAAATATTAAACGTTACGAATATTAAAAACTGAACGAGATAATATAATTCTAAATAATAATAATATGCATTTTAAAAACATAGTCGCTTAGTTGCAAGTATTTGGTTTAAAAAAAATCAATCACTACGCAAAATGGATATGACTCGTTATAAATAGGCCGGCTAGATAAATATTCGACGAACTACATTTTTTTTATCAATTCGAACAACTAATTTATTGTATTAGCTACGTATAACGTACGTCTTTGGCACTCATACATACACACAGCTAGCAACACTCATTAATTAATGACAAGTGCTTGTTCACAGTTCCGTCCGAATATTCCCTTAGGCCTTGGTGAGACATAAACTGGCCTGGCAGGTATGTATTTAATAAAACTTCCGACAAATCGTTATGACATCCGCGTATTAAGTTCACTAACACGAGGTTACCACCTGTTTTATGTTTATTAATGTAACCTTTACATACATAGTAAACAATATGCGTTTTAATGTGGGTATCTATTTTTATAAGATTCTTAATTAAATATTTGATCGCCATCTTTGGTTCGTTTCTTTTATTTTTTTCATATTAATAAACCCTTTACGTACATACTCGTTTGAGGTTATTTTTTAAGTAGATTTTGACACCGTGTGCGGATTTAGCAAAGCGGATTTTCAAAGTACTCTAGGGTTTTTCAGCAGTATCATGTGGTTTCGGTGTAACGCTGATCTGCACTTCACCAGTAGGTCCCACCTTGATGTTTACCTAGAAAATAAACTTTTCATTTTATTTTGTTGATAAAAATTAGTTTACCTTTTGATACACGACCCGCCAAATTAAAAAACTTAAAGCGACAGTAAAATTATTGACATGTAATTCTAACTTAACTTTAAAAAAATGTATATAGCGTCAAGCGTCGTAAACATCTAGATGCTTTTGTTTTAAGAATCTTTTGAATACACCGTGTACATGCACGCACACATGTAAAACTATATACAGCGTGTTGTGTTATAATTTCTTTTTTACCTAGTCCCCTCGTCAAACGTTCATAGCGTAGTAGACCGGGTTGGATGGCGGCGCCATAGGCGAGGATGCGATTTGCGGCTGGAGTCCGGACGGTGCACCCTCTGGAGCGCCGCGTACCACTCGAGACGGAGACCCCGGAGCTGGCTGATATAAAGGAGCAGCCACCTGAAAAAATATATTCAATGATGCCATAATCAAAAAAGATCGTCATAAACTCGAATATAATTCAATATGCAATTTCGAAAAGAGCACATGTCGCATATTTTGTCAAATACGTTTTTTCATATACATGTAGTTTTGAGGCTTACCTACATCTATTTTATAATAATTCCAGTAATTTTCAATTGCTAATTAACACTAAAATATATTTCAAAAGTTAATATTTTAAATTTTACACTGCTTTAGAAAATAATCAGCTTTTATTCTTTTCCTGAAAATTTTACATTTTCAGAGATGTGCCCTTTTCGAAATTGCATAATCAATTATTTTCAAAGTTGAATTTAACATTAATAATTGTTATTTGTTAAATTAAATTGTCAATTTCTTGTGTCTGTTAAGTGATTTTCATTATATTTTTTATTTGTTTGCAATAGCACAGGCATAATGTATTGTAAATAAGCGTTTACTGCCCCAATTTTACATTAACATTTAGATATTTTTAGAATAACTATAAACAAATAAATAGTAATACAATATGTCATTAATAGAGGACCTTTACTGATACCATTAATACACATCATCTGACCAAAGTAATTTATATATAAATTTAAATCCTTAGGTGTTTGTGAATAGTGTAGAATTCAGAACATAAGGCGCACATCCCTTTTTTTAAATTATTTTTTTAAATTACATTTTTATTAATCCCATATGTTTCGATGACAGCATCTACTTTTCATGTTTAGGTCCACATGCTTAGTGGCTTTTTCTACCTAATGTTTGCATAATTATCGTCAATGCGTCAATCTGGCAACATTTTTTTATTACTGCAACACGGTAAAACGACCATCATAGTATTAAGTGTTTACTGGAGTCTATAGACGTTACAAACCATCTAGCTTGAGAATAGAGAGTTTTTTTTAAATGAATGAATTTTAATAGATTTTTTTTATTGTATAACAGCCGTTCTACCATTCAAATTATTGATTGCGAGCTCAACTGCTAGGCTTCGCAGTAGGTACTTGCGACTTAACACGCAAATCTAAATAATTTCGTTACGATTTGCTTCAGAACATTGCACCTGAGCACGCAATGTAAACAAATACACCTTTCAGTGGAAATTACCTTTTCAGAATAGCAGATCATTTGTTTTCCCCCACCCGGCTGCTGGGCTGGAACTGGCCGGTAGCGTGCCGGAGCCGGGCACAAAGTCTATGAATAAAAATAGTTTACCAAATAAATAATGATACCTAAATAATACCAAAATTAGTTTCAAGCTGAAGCATGTTTCACGTTATGATAACCGCAACATTCGCACGCTGATAATTAAAAATGCAAAATCATTTTCTCACTTATTCTTTGTGTGTCAGCGTGTCGTTGAAAGATCGAATATATACTTTCCCAATGGGAATGGGGAGTGTTTCTGACAAAGGCCATATGTACAGGTGACGCTTCAAAATTAAGAAATACATCAAGTTTTACTCTCGTTTTTGAGCGGAAAGGGAAATCAAAAGTATTATCCGAGTTTCGTTACAATTCTCGTGGACAGTGAAATATAACAATTTGAAACACACAAAACAAATTCGAAACTGCTTCAATTAAAGTCGCAACTTACAAACAAAAAAATTGAAAGTTTTGCGTTGTAATTGTACAATTGAAATTTTGGGCGCCACTAATTTTTTTATAAATGTTGCCGGTTTATTTAAATTTTGTTAGCTTTTGTGTGCATGGTTGATGAACATACATATATAGGTGTCATTGTAAACAAAATAAAATTTACTCGACTGAGCTACCTATCTAAGAGTGCTCACAATTTCGACTGGATTTCAGTAATATTTATGAAAATATGTAGTATAACAGTAAGTACGTGTCTTGTGTGTAAACTTAAATGCGCTCCGATCGAAATTCATTGCGTTGGATCACAAGGAGTATACTTGAATGTTTTTCTTCTTACAACTAACTTCTATAAGCATTATTCTGCTCATTGTGACGCGAAAAAATACTCGCGCATACTTCAGAGAAGCATTTAAGCACATACTGTACAGCAAAATTAGACTACTTCAAATCACTTCCAAAACGCCGGCGATCCGAAAGCAAAACATCACGTTTACCAAAAAAAGCAATGTTAGCAAAACGTTACAAATAAAGATTTAATGGAAGTGTAATTTTAACCTGTAACTGCAGGGGATGGGAGTAGTGCGCCCTTTGTTGATGTGCAACAGGTTGGGGCGTGCTCGTTGCGCTGCGACCTTGGTGCTGATAATAAGTCTGCATGCGATTATCTGGAATGACGTCAGTTATTTACAATGTACGGAATTTACTGATGCATGAACGGATTGTGATGGGGTTGATATATGTAATCAACGCTATAGTTATCACGTAAACACACTGACAGACACTAGTAATAGGTTGGAGAAAAAGTTTTTTCGTATTATAGTATGTATGAACTTGTAATGATCTCTTTGGCTATATATACTATTTGTATCTGATATCATTTGGTATCATTCAAAGTTTAAATTTTAAAGAAGATAATTCCATATTCATATTAGGAAAATGTGTGATTTTTATTTATTTTTCGTACCGTCAAGATGTGTGAATCTAATGAAGAAATTCGATACATTTTAAAATTTTACTACAAAAAAGGTAAAAATGCAACGCAAAAAATTTGCGATGTTTATGGACTTAGTGCAGTTTCTGTGAGAGTAGCATAAATTTGGTTTAAGCGTTTTCAATCCGGAAATTTTGATGCCAAAGATGCACGTCGCTCTGGTCGCCCTATTACGGATAAAAAGGATGCCATTTTTTTAAAAGTGGAGCAAGATAGGCATATCAGTAGTTAGAATGTAGCTGAAGAACTGGGAATTGACCACAAAACAGTTTTGGCGCATTTGAAAAAAACTGGGTACACAAAAAAGCTCGATATTTGGGTACTTCACGAGCTCACTGAAAGAAACCTAATGAACCGTGTACTCATCATTTGTGATTCTTTATTACGACGTAATGAAACCGAACCATTTTTGAAGAAGCTGATCATTACTAGTGATGAAAAGTGGATCACGTACGACAAGAACGTGCGAATAGGGTCGTGGTCAAAGGCCGGTCAGGCTTCACAGACTGTGGCGAAACCCGGGCTAACTCACAACAAGGTGATGCTGTGTGTGTGGTGGGATTGGAAGGGAATTATTCATTATGAGCTGTTACCACTAGGCAGGATCCTCGATTCTGAACTCTACTGCGAACAACTGATGGGATTAAAGTAAGAAGTTGATAGAAAGCGGCCGGAACTAATCAACAGAAGGGGTGTGGTTTTTCATCATGATAACGCTAGACCTCACACATCTTTAGCCAATCAGCAAAAATTAAGAGAGCTTGGCTGGGAGGTGTTAATGCATCCGCCGTATAGTTCTGACCTTCAGATTTCCACCCGTTTCGGTCTCTTCAGAATTCTTTAGGCAGTGTCAGGTTAACATCAAGAGAGGACTTCCAAAACCAATTGTCGCGGTATTTTGATCAGAAGTCCCAAAATTTCTATAGCCATGGGATCATGTCCCTACCTACAAGATGGCAAAAAGCTATCGAACAAAATGGTAACTACATACTTTAGTTAAATGTAAATAAAGTATATTAAAAAATGTTGTGAATTTTCCTAAAAAATGCGAAGAAACTTGTTCCCCAACCTATTATATTGGTTGGAAGCGTTTGAAGCCCGTTAGGGGCATGTGTTCTAATTTGGCGAATGGGACAATCTTTATACAATTGAGACTACGACTTGGGGTTTCCGTGGTGTGTGGCGGTATTCACGTTGCGTTTATGGGGTGACTAGTTGTTGGGTCTCTTCTACCGACTATGGACCATGAGTATGTTTACTAGATTAAACAAGTAAAAAAATACATTTGAGATATTGCGATTTTAACCAGTAAGAATCGCTTTATATCTAGGTATATATTAATACGTGAAGCAAAAACTTTGTACCCCTTTTTACAATATTGCGCCGACGGAGGAGTATGAAATTTTCCACACTTATAAAGAATATAGAGAAGGAGCGCCCAATGCTAATTTTTTTTAAAATTATGCATACAAAATACTTTAAATCAGTTATAAAAACATTACACACACTGCCATGTTTTTGACACCAACATACGTATAAATTGGTATAAATATACCTACTCTTTGTTTATAGTCAATTGTCAAACTTTTGTTATTATGTGTGGTCAAATTGTGAATAGATCAATATTGTTTGTCTTTAAGATTATTTATCTATAGTGTAGTTTTGGCGAAATCTGTGATTATATATAGAAGTATAATAGTGTTTGAAAATAGTACCATAATAATGTTTAAGCATAAAATTTCAATTAACTAAAGTCGAATTTCGACTACTGTGGGCTACTAGTAGTTGTAGTATTGACAGAAAATTTAGTCATCAATTTTATACTCACAGTCGTTGGGTGACCATTGAGCGTACTCGTGTTGCTGGTAATGGTAATGCGCGTTGTAGGGCACGTACAACAGCTGATGGTGGCTTCTGATCGGCGGTGGCGATTCTGGCCTTCTGCAACGAGGAGCCGCCCTCACTGGAGAAGTTTGCTCCGAACTGGTCTGCGAGCTGTACAACTCTTGGCTGCTATCTGAGCACCTGTTTAATTAATGTCTCTCGGTTAAGTTACAATTTTGAAAACCGGACAATGACTTTTAGTCATTCAAGATGCAGTTATTTGAGAAATCTTCAACCTGTTTAACCAAAATGAAACCTGTAAAGCTTTTAATGTCATCATCAGCCTCTTTATTTATTTTATTATTATTCATGGTCATAGATTAACAAATATGGTGCTTAATATTAATAAATATATCACTATGTCCTGCTAGTAAAGCGTACAAATATTAGGCCTAAGTATAATCGACATAAAAACATTAATCTTAAATTATAATTATTTAACTCTATTCTACCTTATCATCTAAATTATCTAATGTTATCGTCTAAATAGTCTGACATAATATAGTAAGCCTTATCTAATAAAAATAGTTGCAATTTTTTTATCTGTCCACTGCTGGATGTAGGTCTCTCCCATAGTCCGCCACAATGAACGATTCTCCACCTTCCGCATTCAATCTTTCCCAGCATATCGCCGCAAAACTTCGGTCCACCGGGCAGGGGGACGCCCAACGCTGCGCTTACCGGTACGTGGTCTCCAGTCCAGAACGCGTCTGCTCCATCGGTTCTGCGACACGTATATCCGGTCCGCCTAACTTTTTTTTTTAATTCACTTACCCAACATTAGCGTACAAAGAGCAGCTGTTTCTATACAGATTCTCGTGGTGTCTGTGCTGTTGGTAATGAGCAAATGAGGCCATGTTCTGTGAGTGAGCGTAGCAGGCGTCGGTATGCTGTTGCGGGACTGGGGTGGTACTGCATGGACGCGTGGTTACGTAATCCGACGACGTTTTTGACCTGTTTTAAATGATAACCCGAATGAAGGCATATAAACATCACATCTGTCGATATTCGAGGCAGATATTATACTGGATACCGTAGCTAATATTATGATCTATGTGCCAATATGTATTTAGTATCGACTGGCTTTGAAGTAAACAAAATAGTGGCTATGCTTATGAAACGAATTACATATAAACCCATAGTAAAATTTGTCTACGGCTTAACATTTTTTGTACTGCGTAGTTCTGTGAACGATCCTATTGAACGAGCTTATTTGATGATATTATTCCCGGAGCCCATATATCACAACGTAAACGCGACCTCATCCTACCTTGAGTTATCGGCAGAAATGGGATAGATGACGGCACCCGTGCGTCCAACAACACGCTTAAACACCAATAAATGCCGGTTTGACAATCTGTGTTCGATGGTATAATTCTCAGAGAACGCTGCTGTCCATTCTCTGTTAAAACCCTTAGTCTTTTACGACATCCACGAGAAGAACGTGGGTGGTGCTATTTTAGGGCTGAGCGAATATTTAAAGAATTTCGCTTCAACTGCTAGTCAAATTAAACTCAAATAATGCATCATAATTCATAGAGCGTTAAAAACAAGCAAATAATACATATGCGGTAGGCAGTGGCTGGCTCTGCCCCTGGCATTGCTGAGGTCCATGGACGACGGTAACCACTCACCATTAGGTGGGCCGTATGCTCGTCTGTCTACAAGAGCAATAAATTTTTTTTTAATCATAATATACTGAGTAAATTAAATAACGACTTCCTTGAAAAAAATTTCAGTCGTACGAATGTATTATAAATCATTTGAAATTAAAATAATATTTTACTACACAATGTGCATTGTACGATACTTGAAAACAAATTTGTTTTCAAGCAATTATTTACGAATACTTTAACCTTTATACAAAGTAAACTTGCCAGTTAGAGTTAGCGCTCGCTCGGCTTTGCGGTCGGGAGTTGAGATTAGCCTCGGAGTAATACGGCCACGAGTAGTTCGAGTTTGTTCTCTGGCACGCGTGAAACGGCATTTGCGTCACGTTTGTACTCGGGGAAGGTTGCAATTCGTTCTGCATCTGTTGTAACATGTCATCGGATGCTCCGAGCTGCTGCTTGATGGCTATGCCGCGCACAGCAGGCCGCCGGTGGAAACCTGACGTCATATACACAGGGCCTATTTTATTTTTCAAAATTAAAATAGCTAATGCGGAAACTTGATCATATTTATGTCATATATTCCAAAAACATAAATAAAGATTTGTTTTTTTTTTACTAACAATTATAAATTTTGACTAAGGGTGACTCATAATTATATTATATTATGTATATTATATTAATTACAGAAAATAGAAAAATCGATTATTATTTTAAATCTCTAAGGAAATAAATTGATTAAATCATTTTGATTATTAATGTTTACCAAAAGTGCCAAAATTATAATTCACAAATAATGGATGAATTGAATTTCTTGTGTAATCAATTAAAAAAGAAATTTTTTTTTTATTAGAATTAATTAATTTTATTGAGCAATCTTGATAAGACTAAAAAAAATTGTTACTTTTAAAATTTTGCCGCCCTAAAAAATTTGCCGTACTGGGCACTTGCCCCGACTGCCCCTAGTGTAAATACACCTACAAGAACTAATGACATGCCATTTTATTTAAGTTCAAATGTATGATTGTACGTTACGTTTACCGTAATCATCGTGTTCATCATCACTGCTGACCGGCTGCGACTCTTGGCCGTAGCGTTGCCTTATTCTCTCTGTTCGTGGAGCAGAGGCTCGTGCAAATGCCGCCAATCCATCGTCACCGTCACCTGCTCCTGTAATGTGAATGAAATAAAAAGATAGATAACTTCACAAAAATAGCACGCTGTGAAAAAGCCTCCTCCTTATTTACTCCCAACTAGCACACTGTGAGAGAGCCTCCTCCTTATTTACTTCCAGTCGTTTAAAGAGTGGGATACAAACGGAAAGTTAATATTACGGTATACACTAAAGACAGGATTCGAAAACATACCTGGTGTTCCAGCTACTATGTCTGGAGCTGGCGCATCGTTGTGCTCTTGAAGATCGATGTTAGTGGTGGACGTTACCGTGCTACGATCTGCTGTAGCGGAAACGTAATAGAAACCCTCGTGATGGGCAGCATTACCAACACAAGCCGTCAGTGGAGCCAAGGTCGACAGGAATTGCCTACGCGGCTCCGAACGCTAAAAAAGAAGATGAAAAATTCTTGAAATATGTCATCACATAACATATAACATTGTGTGTAATAACTGTTTCCACATTAAATCAGTTCACATAACTTAAGTACGTATAAACTAACAAAGAACCCATATGATACAGCTACCTTGACATTGACACAGTTGACTCTAAACTACAGGTCTAGGACAGAGTTGAACTCGCTTGAACTTGAACTCCTTTTGCGAGGGCTTTTTTTACTACAAATGTAGTTTACCTAGTATGTTTCATTGATGTTTCGCACGGCAATTTATTATATTATTCATCGTCACCATTGCAATTTATGGGAAAATTCCCTGAATAGGCATGATGACAGTGGTGCAAAATAAACTATAGCTTAAAATATGAACATAGTTTAAAAGTAAGGTGTATTGTGAGCCCGAACTAGTTGGTACTACCATCCTGCCTATTTCTGCCATAAAGCAAACGCCCGATGCGCGAAATGATGGTTAAGACAGCCAATACACAATACATTATACTACTATAATATACTTGAGAATAAACAATGATAATGTAATATAATTTTAGAACTACGGCCGCCGTACCGCGGAGACCGGCGTCGACAATCGCCTCGGCGACCTATCGTTCGGGTGTGGGGTCCCTCGGGGTGGCGCCGCGAGTCTGGCTGTAGTGTTGACCGTGGGAAACCCGCTACTCTGCCCGGGTTCTGACCCCGGACGGAGACCAACCGGGGGTGAGAGAGTGCAAGAGGAGTTGTTTGGTGGGTATGACCCTAAAACATCCGTTGGCCGGCGGTCCGCTCTTTACATCTGCGGACCGTCAAGACCCACATACCCCGCGTGCCCTATAAGTGCAGAAATCTCATACCATCTCATATCTCTAAAATAAAGGGGCCTCGTGCAGAAATGAATTTTGAGGAGATTTCATACTCTGGAGCCACATAATATTATGACTGGCGTCGGAGACACTGTCATCAATTTTTTGTATAATATTTTTTATTCTTAATTGGTTTTTTAAACCCTTTTTTAAGTTATTGTAGTTCATAAGATATTATTGTAATTTTTTTATATTTTTTTTATTGCTTAGATGGATGGACGAGCTCACAGGCCACCTGGTGTTAAGTGGTTACTGGAGCCCATAGACATCTACAACGTAAATGCGCCACCCACCTCGAGATATAAGTTCTAAGACATCTCAGTACAGTTACAACGACTACCCCACCCTTCGAACTGAAACGCATTACTGCTTCACGGCGGAAATAGGCGGGGTGGTGGTACCTACCCGTGCGGACTCCCAAGAGGTCCTACCACCAGTGAATAATAATAAATATAATGTACTGAAATAATATCGTACAATATATAATACAATTAAGATCTCTAGTTTCAGGGACAGCAAAATTCACGCTTTTGGTTTCTATGAGCCAGTATGAGCGTGAGTAACTGCCCAAAACTAAGCAGACCGCGAACTAGTTTCCTTACTTGACCTAAGTACAGTATTGTTATAAAATCTACAACAGCTCTAACTGGTTTGTGTTTCTGTTCGTCATTTTATATGTTTTACTGAAACTGTCGTACGACAGTTTCGCATTTACAGACTACGTTGTATGACAGAAAACGATTTTTAAAAATGACAATAATCGTATGATTTTAATAAACGAGTAATAATTATCGGAAAATGGTCTAGTCATATCTATACTAATATATAAATCTACAGTGGTTTTTACGGATGTTCCATTATATCTACTGAACCATGCATCTGATTGACTTGAAACTTGGTATCCATCTAGAAAATACATGTACTTAATGGATAGGCTAATATTTATATGAGTGTTGGACTCCCAAATAATAATGACAGTAAATAATAATGTTAATTTTAAATGCCCAGCGAAGCGGGCGAGTACGGCTAGTAATTTATAATTTTGAACAGAAAATGCGTTAGTTGGAGCTGTTGAAAAACAAGACTTCCTATTTTAATATTACTGCTTATAAACAAACAACAAAACATCTGAAAACCTACTAAAAGTCATAAAATAATAAAATTATTTTCAATTTAATTGGTCATTGTTAATCCGATCATTTTTGAATAGTTAATATTAGGGGTTAAAGTATGAAATTCCGATTTGTACTGAAAAACTGAAATTCGTTTCTTTTTCATTTAACATATTTATTTAATCAAAATATCTACCATTATTATCTATATATTGCTGCCATATAATAGGAAGGTCATTTATTCCTTTGCGATAGAACTCTGGATCGGCTTCCACCATCTCTTTCAATTCATTGTTATTCACATGTCATTGTGTGGGCGGTCTCCCACGTGGTTCGTTCTTCAAATCAAAATTTCCATCACAAAAGCGTTTAAACCAAAATCGCACGGTGCGTTCATTAGCAGTCCCCTCTCCAAAGGCAACATTGATATTGCGAGCTGTTTCTGCAGCGTTAGTTCCGCGTCGGAACTCGTATTCCAAAATCCCTCGAATTTTCGAAGTATCCATCTTTATTGTCTGAGCTGATAAAAAAAACAACTGAAAGTCGTTAATCGAATGTTGCACATTTTTTAAAAGAAGAATCTCCTCATAGGTACCATTTGAAAAAAGTTTCACTCAAAAATCTCAAACCATGAAGGTTTTATGTCATTTACAATAAATCGGCAATTTCATACTTTAACCCCTATTATTTGTTACTACTTCACATGTTACAACTTATTTCAGAAACATCCGTTTCTCTCTGTTGCATACATGTACATTTATTTATTTATTTAAGGACATCCAGCAAAACACCACGGACAAACAATAGAACTAAAGTACTAAACAGTAGAACCAAAGTACTACACCAAAGTTTATTTGTTTAATCTGTTCCGGCATAGCCGCGATTCGAGAAACATCGAAATGATATTAAAAATGAAAAGCGTGTGTATAACAGCTAATGTAAATCATATCACTACAAAGTATAAAACAAAGTCGCTTTCTCTGTCCCTAATCCCTATGTACGCGTAAATCTTTAAAACTACGCAACGTATTTTGATGCGGTTTTTTTAATAGATAGAGCGATTGAAGAGGAAGGTTTATGTGTATAATAACATCCATTAAATAGTGCAGAAATCAATAATAAATTACAGTTTCCAAAGCGAAGCGAGGGCGGGTCGCTAGTACATATTAAACTTGTTTATCAAAGTAGTCATACCGAGTGTAATTGAGTTTGCGTGTTTTATACCAGCATATCAGGAATAAGGAGATTAACAGAAGAATCGTGGTAGCTGACATAATCCGAACTATTGCCAGATTGTGATTTCACGAGCATCATGTTAACGATTGTGATTTCACAATCTGGCAGTGGGCAAGCCACATTGCTCGTAGAAGAGATGGCCTTTGAGGCCGAAGAGTTCTCGACTGGTGACCTCGCACCAGAAAGCATATCATGCATAGCCCTCCCACGAGGCGGATAGCCTGCTTAAATTCGCGGAAATCCGCTGGACGCAAGCTGCGCAGGACGGGTCATAAGGACGAACCTTGGGGGAGGCCTATGTCCAGCAGTGGACGTCAGTGAGCTGATGATAATGATAATTGTAGCAGGAACATTATCGAAAGCGGTATCAATTTTTTTCGTTACCTTTACGGATTTTTCAATAGACTTAGACAATTCAGAACTTTGTTTATTTATATTATTTTATTTAGTTACATTCATTTTATTATGTTTTATTATTTATTTTGTGAAATTTCAGGAAAGCCTTAAATAATGTCGTTTGGGAGGTTTAAATAAACAATGACTTGTAGTAAAGACATGTCATTTTGCCTGCATTAGTGGCTATAGCCTGAATCATAATAAACGTGGGCGATCCAAGCATCACGCATCATAATATAGAAACATGATATTATTTACGAGAGGAGAGACACATTAATATGTTTACAATATCGAGTACATTGTGACGATATATTAGGGGTCATTAGACGTGGCGTACAAAAGGTAATTTGATATGATTCGTGCGTAGGTACTTATGGATGTTGCGATAATATGGGAGTAAACAAATCTAAATTAGCGATTAATGTTTATTATTTGTAACGTATATTTCTTAGAATTAACCTACCGCAATTCGTTTGTGGTATGAATATTCTTTTGGTGGCTCAGTAGTTTTGTGTTAAATGGTATTTATTGTTTGCCTGTTGTCCAGTAATATATTATATACTAGCGACCCGCCCTCGCTTCGCTTCGGAAACATTAAAACACACATGAAACCAAAAAATAAAAATAAAAAAAAATAAAAAAAAGTAGCCTATGTTCATCAGGGACAATGTCGGCTTCTAATGGAAAAAGAATTTTTCAAATCGGTCCAGTAGTTTCGGAGCCTATTCGAAACAAACAAACAAACAAACAAACAAATCTTTCCTCTTTATAATATTAGTATAGACAAGTAAAGCCGCTAATTAGAACATTTGTTCTAAAATAAATTGTTAAAAATAAATAGCAGCTAGTGTAATTTAGAAGTAATTACTAATTTTTCAGTAGGCAACACGATCATCGAACACATACAATACTGCTAATAAACATTTTATTTTATATTTTTTAAACGTACATATCTCGTACCTGTTATTCTTGTTGAAAATATTGACATAATATTCTAAACGTTCATTATTTAAATTAAAAATAATTTAAATTAAATTTAAATTAAAGTTTTATGGTATTGTTACGCCAGCAAGAGTAACGTCATCTATTATCAAATAGCGGAAACACATATCGAAACGACTGGTCTTGCTGGAATTGTTCTGGACAATTGTAGAGATGTCGTATCGACTATAAAAGCGTTGCAGACATAACACGAAATTAGTCACTAATCGGTTTAACTCGAAGCGAAACAGCGACCGGAACACCCGAAGCGAAGCGGAAGAACTGAATTATGAATTGTAAAGTGTTCTTAGTGTTTAATAGTTTTAATTTGTAGGTACTTCGGTGGAAGTTTTATTTATCCCTAACCACAGCCCATAACAGTATTTATGTTGCTCTAGACACCAAAGCAACATGGTAATTATATGCGCCAGCGTTATTAAGAACCAACGAAAAATATTTCCCAGCCCTAATTTGGATCCAATATATTTTTTACTACTTAATTAGCTCGGTATGTAGATATTCTATTCTATTGTGGGTATGCGAGTGTTTTACAAGCAGCAGTTATTTTATAGTGTTAATGAGACTTCGCGTAACTTCTATCGATTAAATCAGCGCATTTAAATCATTCTGTTGTGCAAATGTTACCTACTATGGACGTTTGCAAGGGCAATAAAAATCTTGATCATATTTAAAAGATGTTCCGCTCAGTTTTTGACGTTTACCAATACAGAAAGCCTTTGAAGATCGTTTGATCTTGAATCCCTTAAGATCCGTTTTTACCTAAATGTGAATCAGTATATATAATAGAATACAAAACAGTAATACCAAAAGATTCCAACACTCATATAAATAGCCTATCCATTAAGTACATGTATTTTCAACATGGATACTAAGTTTCAAGCCAATCGGATGCATGGTTCAGTAGTTATAACGGAACATCCGTAAAAACCACTAGAGATTTATATATTAGTATAGATTTGTTGAAATGTAACAGGTCAATTTGATGTATACCTAAGTTTCTTAATTAACTATATTCTAAAGCTTAGTTACTTAGTACATAAGTTACCATAGTACTTAAGTTAGTGGATTAATAAAAAATATACCCGTCCACTCGTAGCCGGAAAATGCTGCTTAAGCTACCAGCGAAATAGGCAGGGGAAATATAAAAAAAAAAACAAATAAAAAAATAGTACTGCATCGGATAATGAATGAAAAGAAATGATAGGCCCAAAAGATATTTCAGTTCAAAAAGTTACTTGTGTATAGTAATTTGTATGTACATATAAAATATAAGTGTTGTTGTTGAATATCTTTTTCATTTTAGTTTTATTGAAAAATGTACAGGAAATTCTGCATATTTCAGTTTTATTCGAGCGTCATGTTAACGAAGGTAGCGGCGATGGAGCCAGAACGATAAAAAGGCTGAAAAGGGAACGAGCCCCTCGAACAAACATTTATTTTCCATTCAGCCTTACAGTCAGTGCATCAATGATTTGTTTTTAGTTTATATATTTCGTAGTAATGAAAGTTTGAAGAGTCGTTATTCCAACTTTATGGAGACTTCGCCCTCTGTTTCTAAGTGGGCGGTTGCTTCGGTTTGCGGATTTTACGGTCTAGACAATACGAGTATTAAGAATGCTGTAAACTTGACTTTTATTCAATACAAAAAAAAATTGCGTACGACCAACCTGATTTTAAATTGACATCTTCGCTCAATACCATCAACAATACCATTAGTGCAGCGATGCCGCGCTGTAAAGCTTTTTTTAGATGTTATTTAAAGACAGTGAATACATAACTAATACATAGATATATAGATAGAGAGAGAATATATGTATACATAGCTAAAAACTCTTAGTTGAGTACCTTTGGGGGATCCTGGTGCACATCTCCTAAGTCCGGGGGCTGGTGGCGCATTGGTACCGGTGCAGACAGAGTGGAAGATGAGGAACTTGAGGAGGCACTCCCGAAGGCCTTCTCATTGCTTTTATCGAGGCTGTTGAACGATTTCTCGCTGGACTTGTCGGATAACTTGTCTGAGTTGTTCTGGCTGGCTGGCGAAGCGCGTTGCTCTTCCGGTTCATCCTCGACGTCACATGTTAACAGACGGATTCTTTCGGCTAGTGACGTTGTCTCCTGCTGTTCGAAAATTATTTTTTTACATTTTACTTCTTACTGGTGGTAGGACCTCTTGTGAGTCCGCGCGGGTGGGTACCACCACCCTGCCTATTTCTGCCGTGAAGCAGTAATGCGTTTCGGTTTGAAGGGTGGGGCAGCCGCTGTAACTATACTTGAGACCTTAGAATTTATATCTCAAAGAGGGTGGCGCATTTACGTTGTAGATGTCTATGGGCTCCAGTAACCACTTAACACCAAGTGGGCTGTGAGCTCGTCCACCCATCTAGGCAATAAAAATAAATAAATAATAATAATTGCTTTAGGATTACTAAATACTTCGTAATATTTAGATATTGTCCGTCTCGCTCCGGCACTATTGTAATCCCTCCTTTTAAATACAATCAAAGAAGTAATAGTTATTATAGGGCTGTAGTAATCTACTTTACGACTTGCATAGTCTATTATTGTTATATTTGTAAGTTTGCGCAGATAGCAAACGTCATCCCGTCTATTTCTGCTGCGAAACAGAAACGCGCTTCGGTTTGAAGAGTGAGAGAGCCGTTGTAATGTAAAATTGAGACTTACAACTCACGTCTTAAGGTGGGCAAGGGCATTTACATTGTTAATGTATCTGGGCTCTTTTAGCTTTTATACACCAGGTGTGCCGTGAGCTCGTGTCCACCTATGTTTATATTTTACCAAAATTTATGTTTCATCAACATTATACAGTGAAAAGTAATAAATTTCCAAATAAAACATCTCAAATTCCAAAGGCGCGCTGTAGTCGCAAGAAGTTGTTACTAAATTTCGAAACACGAGCTAGCGCTTAATCCCTGCCAGCCGCTCTTTGTGTTCGGGCAATCAGATTTAAATTTAAAAGCAATTCATGTTTAAGCGATGCTTAAGTTTTAAACTATGACTCATTTTTTTATAAGTTGGTTGTGTCTGAAAAAATGCTTGTCAACAATATATGTTTGAACATTACCTTTTTTTTTCCTACCTATGCTGGTAGCCTTGAGAGGCTATTTCAAACCTGACGACGTTGCTAACACGAACCCCGGCAAGAGCCGTGCTTCGCAGAATCTACCACCGGACCAGAAACGGAACACGACCCACTGAGAAGATACGGTAAGAAACTCAGTGGGCTGTGTCTGTGGGTTAGTTTACTCGTGGAGCCCTTCGTCGCAAGCGACGGGTTCGACGAGAACCATGACCGGGAACATTAGCATTGCACGATATTTCAACCTATACCTAGTAAATTGGACAATTACGTATGCTATCCGCACTACTCGTGGCTAGTTTGAATATTCTATATTTTTCTAGGGTGCAACGACCCAGGGGTAGAAATTTAAAATAAATACTGGCAATCGAGTTAGTGGATAATTCGATTTTGAAAGCGGATGCCACTCTACCGCCGCAATTTACATTTAGCGGTAAGCAGCGGCTTGGCTCTGCCCTTGGCATTGCTGAAGTCCATGGGCGACGGTAACCACTCACCATCAGGTGGGCCGTATGCTCGTCTGCCTACAAAGGCAATAAAAAAAAATAAAAAAAAACACGAACGAAACATTTATTGCTGGTTTTTATTGTTCGACAAGTTTTTTTTTTGCAATTTGGTGAACGAGCTCACGCCCACCTAGAGTTAAGTGGTTACTGGAGCCCATAGACATCTACAACGTAAATGCGCCACCCACATTGAGATATAAGTTCTAAGGGTCTCAGTATAGTTACAACGGCGGCCCCACCCTTCAAACCAAAACGCATTACTGCTTCACGGCAGAAATAGGCAGGGTGGTGGTACCTACCCGTGCAGACTCACAACACGTCCTACCACAAATGACTTGAGTTTTACAGTAAAACGGCTGCCCCCTCACGGCAGAAATAGGCAGCACCTACCCATGGGGGCTCACAGGACACTCCAGCACCCGTCGTTGCAGTAAACTTATCAATACTGGTCGCACGAATTGAGTGAATACATTTTCCTCCGCCAAATCACAGATTAATAAATAGTTACAGGCACTTTTCTATGATACCACTTTCATTAAGCTCTCTTTGGCACGTGGTGAACAATCTGTATATTAATGAAAAAAATAATAGTAATTATACTGAGACCTTAGAGCTTTTATCTCAAGGTGGATGGCGCATTTACGTTGTAAATGTCTATGGGCTCCAGTAACCACTTAACACCAGTTGTGAGCATGTCCACCTATCTAAGATGTAAAAAAAAAAATTGTATTTAACTACTAATTACGTAACTACTAACTTTATTTTTCAGATTTTTAACATGATCTATATCACAGCCACATTTTGCCTTGATATATTCGTTGTGGAGCACCATATGCCTATAATGTAATTTGTATGATATTTTTTTACCGAAAATAATTGAAAATATCGCTTATTTCGTGTCTGGCGTTACATTTTTTTACACCTACATAATTCGTTATTGATTCATTAGTTATACAGAGTAAATTAATTAATATATATATACACAAGGGCATTCAAACTAAAACTCAAACATATTGGATATCATCTCATTAGATTTCTAAGTGTTTTTATTTTATTTTTATCAAAACATTTTTCATGTAAAAACGTCTTTAAAATAAGAACGTGAGTCATGCGTAACGAATTACTTTCATAGCTTCCGCTCAACTCATTTATTATAAACGAACAATTAATTACAGGAAATTCATATTGGATACGTTATATATAATGAAAGTGGAGATTCGTGCTCCACAGAGTTCATAATACGGGAAAATTCATAACGAGAATATTGTTGTTTTTTTTTTACCTATCAGTACCTAATAGCTATTTTGGAAATTAAATTACATTCAATACTTAACGTGTAAGTAAATCATAGCGGAAATTTAATAAAATTAAATATATGATACGGCAACTGAGGGGAGCTTCAAACAATTTTCGTTAATAATAGGGTTACCTTTTGATACTGCCACTGCATGCTAATAAAACTCCATCTCTTTTAGATTGCTTTTGAGCTATTGCATAGACTTTATCGCGGGCTTTTTTTTTTTTTTTTTTTGATTGAAAGTTTACTGGTGGCCCGAAGGCCTTTCCAGTTTCACCAGGACAGGTGGGCGAGCAAAGGCTCAGCCAAGAGGGGTGGGATTTGCTAACAACTGCCCGAGCGCCTCCGAAGGAGACCTAACAACTCAAGAGCAATTGTTTCGCGAATGAATCTACTACCGGATCGGAATCGCGACCCGCTGAGAAGATCCGGCGAGAAACTCAGCGGGCTGATGCATGGGTTAGGTTGCACGTCGACCTCTTTGTCGAGTTCGACGAGTACGGTTACCGGGGTCCCTAAGCCTGCCCCTAGTATTAGAGCTGAAGGCATCTAATGCAAAGGTTATTGGATCTGATGGATCCGTAAGGACGTGTCTAGGGCGTCGACGGTGACTGGCTCCTGCATGATCAGGATTCGGGGAGTAGTCAGCGGCGGCAACGATAAGGCGATTATCATGACGCATAGCCTTATCGAAGTATCGTTCCGACGCTGACTTCATGTATTTCCGAATTGATTCGAGGCCCAGGTCGTCGTGTAGGTCAACGTTCCTCACGAACCACGGAGCCCCGACAGCTAACCTGCAAAAGCGGGATTGTAGGG